GGCTTCTTTCGAGACGAATTTCTTGCTGTAACTTCGGTGAGTGAAAAAGCTGAATGTTTACTTGCTATAGGTGAAGGCAGAAAAGTAAGCTTTTGGGAGTGACCTTCTCTATTAAGGAAGAAATCGCCGTTTTCTCTCGAAGGCTGTGAAAAAGCTAGTGGCAAAGGTCGATTCATATTTTTAAATCTGAGCACGTATTGCATGCCTATCTTTCTTTTTAGGTAAGGGAACACTGTTTCGGTCTATTGGAGGAAGCGATCAAATCAAACATAAATCAGTGTGCTCAGACAGAAGAGACTGCAAGGTAAGAACAATGACTCTAAATGGTTTAGAAAAAAACTTAAGGTTTGGATCTCTTTTAGTCAAATATTCTTTTATGGTTTCCTTGAGGAGCAAAGGCAACTTGCCCAATCGGGGAAAATCCTTTGCTATTTTATTAGACTATTCACAGCCTCTCTATTTACGCACCCCCTCTTCCGTTTTGCGCTGACGTCCAGTTCTCTCGCGACTCTATCCGCGCGTTCAATGATCGGTGATGTGAACAGTCTACTATTTTATCCTTTGCCTCCGTGACATGTTTGTCACGCAACGCTTTGGAGAAGACGCATTGCGTGACAACAAAAGTAAAGGCGACAGTGGAGGTATTATAGTGCTCAGCAACCCTCTTTAACAAAAGCCGCTCACTCAGTCAATTTTCTTGACACATTAGTTTTTGTGGTGAAATGATTTGATTTCAACCTGCGTGAGATTTTCTCTGTTTGTTTGTGGTCGCGTTTAGGTTACTGTTTGACATGGAGTCCACATCAATCGATATTGAGCATAGCATCTTCACGAACAGCAAGACAGACATCGGTTACAAGACTTCCATGCTGAAAAAGGTGATCGAGATATTCCCTTCATGGCTCGTTTGCGTTAGACAAAATATATATTATCTTTTATTTTAGAAGTTGACAGGTATTGCTAGCTAGTATGGGTCGTGTCTTGACGTTTGTGGCAACGCTTTTGATAAATTAACAAGCCCGTGATCATCTTTATACAAAATAGCCACAACAAAAACAGAACGTGAAGGCCAACTAATTAGCGTTGGGAATTGAGAGCAGGTATCGATATAACCTACTCCTGTCACGCGGGCCAATCCTGACTAAACCTTAGCATGGTGTCAAGATACATATAGGGCGCAAGTCTCAGAGGGCGTGAATGGGCACAGCCTGGAATGGTCCTTCGTTCGGCTCCAGTAAACATGCTTCGTGCCAGGCTAGCGCAAGTTGTTCGGACGTTGATTAGGAAGAAAGCTCTGTGTTAACAACGACAAAATTAAAAGGTTGGATACTCAAGAGACTTACATGATTACAAAGATGTCGTCAATCAGTTTCGTTTTTTTTTTATCTTTATTATTGCTTTTTGGGGGCATCGCTGTTGTAACAATTTTTGAGGCAAGCCACAGTGAAATAATTGTTGCTCAACAAATATTGTTCAATGAGGGCCCTTCAAATGTTAATATTTCTCTGTTATTGTAGGTTGGCGAGGTGAAGTCAAGCACCAGTAGTGGCAGCGTTTTTGTTTGGAAGAGAGCTT